TCTATTTCTATTTCTATTTCTATTCTATTTCTATTTCTATTCTATTTTTATTCTATTTCTATTCTCTTATGATTCTTGACAAGTATACTTTATTATTTTCTTTATGTACACTGAGAGTGAATGCACCAAGACAATTCCTTGTGTGTCCAGTCACACGTGGCCAATAAAGAATTCTATTTCTATTTCTATTTTTATTTTTGTAATCCTATTCTATTATTTCTATCCTCTATATTCTATTCTATTCTTATTCTTTCTTATTCTATTCTATTCCAAAGAAGAAGGGAAAAGGAAGTCCAGTTGCACCTTTGAGGCAAGGTTTACTCTGCGCTCTGCTCAAGCTCAGGAGCACCTTCTCCACCTCCCTTCACCCCTCCCCCACCCCCCAATCCCAATCAGTCTTTCCCCCAAATCCAACCGCTCACCCTTGAGTGCCTGGCAAATCCCCGGGCACGAAATCCTTATCTTGGTCCTTGCAAGCAGGGGGCCACTGTTTGGAGGGATGGACGAGGGGAAGGAGGGAGGGAGGGAGGGAGATAGAGAGGGAGGGTCCCAAGGGGGTGGCAAGAATGCCTGGCTTTGCCCCCGGGTGGACCGTAGCGCTGGCACCCGACTCTCCTTCTGCAGTTGCTGTCCTCGGGGGATGAGGAGCCTGAAAAATGCCAAGGTCACCGCCGGCCTGGAGGAGAGACAGATAAAAGTCGGTTCCCAGCGTCCCTTCGCATCGCCCCCTTCAGAAGGCAACCCCCAAGCGTTGCTTGCTTTCGGTGCCCACCTGTGCCCATTCTAACAGCCTGGTGCCATGTTCATCCTGTTCTTCCTCCACCTCTTGCTGGCCGGGGTGCCCTCCGTTGGCACCTCTGGCTTCCGGGAGGGAGACCCCACAGGGCAGAAGCCCCCTGAGTTTTCTGCCCTGACTCTCAACGAAAGGTAAGGCTTTCCAGTGGCCCCCTGCCCAAATGTCGGGGAGCCCAGAGAACGGCAGGGCGGTTGAGGGGCTGGTTGGGAGGAGCTGGGTTCAAATCCCCACCTGGCCTTCGCAGTCCTGCAAAGATCTGTTGCAAAGATCTAATTGCAAAGACAGAGACACCCCACACCTCTCTCCTTGAGTGAGGAGGTGAGCCACGTAGTCTGAACTGGGCAGGGGAGAATTGGGGAGGGGGTAAATACCACGGATCAGCTCATCGAGGGTTTTTGGGGGAGAAGCAAGGAGGTTGGGACAGATCTGCTTTTTGGGAGGGGGGGCGGAATTTCTTGGGAATGTTTGGAAACTGGGAGGATGTTGAGATGGCAACGTAATGATGAATAAAAGGAGAGGG